TAACATTTGAGTTACCCGTCCTACACCTTGCCTAGTTCAACCCTGATCCAGGGGTTATCCGTCCTCTACACCTTGCCTAGTTCAACTCTGATCCAGGGTCCTTCACCTTGCCTAGTATAACCCTAGACCTAGATCCAGGGGTTATCCGTCCTACACTTGCCCTGTAATCTTCAACTTTCAGCTGATAGACTTGGAACCAAATGAATTGATTGAGATAGATGGTATTTCAAGAAAATATTATTTCTAGCTTCTGAAGATCTGGTCTTTATAAACCTATCCATTGCAACATTTATGAATATCAACGAACTGAAAATATAAACAAGTTCTCCATTAACTAATTGGTTTTATTTCAGGCATATCTTGATCTTCTCTCAGCTTACTCTTGGAAATCCTTCACAATTCTTTACGAGGACAACGAGGGACTGATTAGACTCCAGGTAGTTCATGGTTATACTCCAGAAGCTTTTTGAGGATAAAAAATCAGTAAAAGCTTATCATGGCTCAATAATCTTCAGGGGAAATTGCAGGACTAAATATACTTTAAGAAGAAACTTTTACAGAACTTAATATATATTAGGCTAGGACTCAATATGCTTAAGGTATGAGCTTAAGGACTTAATGATCTCTAGTTAGGAGCCTTAGGACTTAATATACTTCAGATAGGAGCTTAAGGACTTAATATCTTTCTGGTAGGAGCTTCAGGACTTAATATACTTTAGGTAGAAGCTTTAAGACTTAATATACTTCAGGTAGAAGCTTCAGGACTTAATATACTTTAGATAGGAGCTTTAGAACTTGATATCTTTAAAGTAGAGGCTTTAGAACTTAATATACCTTAGGTATAAGCTTTTATAGGACTTTATTTACTTCAAGTATGAATGAGCTTTATGACTTAATATACTTCAGGTAGGAGCTTTAGGACTTAATATGTTTTAGGTAGGAGTTTTTGGACTTAATATATTTTAGGTAGGAGCACTATGACTTAATATCTTTCCGGTAGGAGCTTCAGGACTAAATATCTTTTAAGTATAAGCTTCAGGACTTATAATATCTTTATGAAAGGAACTTCAGGACTGAATAAACTTTAGGTAGGAGCTTTAGAACTTAAAATAATTCAGGTAGAAGCTTTAGGACTTAATATACTCCAGGTAGGAGCAATAGGGCTTAGTATACCTTAGATAAGAGTTTTAGAACTCAATATACTTTAGGTAGGAGCGTTAGGACTTATTATACATAAGGTAGGACAAGTAGGACTTTAGGACTTAATATATTTGCAAATATCTTTAGGTAGGAGCTTTATGACTTAATATCTTTCCGGTAGGAGCTTCAGGACTAAATATCTTTTAAGTATAAGCTTCAGGACTTATAATATCTTTATGGATGGAACTTCAGGACTAAACTTTAGGTAGGAGCATCAGGGCTTAGCATACCCTAGGTAAGAGTTTTAGAACTCAATATACTTTAGGTAGGATAGGTAGGACAAGTAGGACTTTAGGACTTAATATCTTCGTAGAAGATTTAGGACTAATATGTTTAGCACATATACGACAGTCTAAAGACCTAATTCAGGGGAAAATCTTTTTAATTGATTGAAAAGAATGTTTATCTCCGGAATAAGATTTCTATAAAAATGCATTATTTTATTTGGCACTGCTAGGAAATATATTGGAATATATTCATAGCCCTAGAGTATTTATAATATAGACAAGTACATAGAGATAACATAGCCCTCGAGTATTTATAATATAGACAGGTACATAGAGATAACATAGCCCTAGAGTATTTATAATTAAGAGAGGTACGTAGAGATAACATAGCCTTAGAGTATTTATTATTTAGAGAGGTACGTAGAGATAACATAGCCCTAGAGTATTTATAATGAAGAGAGGTACATACATAGAGATAACAAAGTCCTAGACTATTTATAATTTAGAGAGGTACGTAGAGATAACATAGCCCTAGAGTATTTATAATGAAGAGAGGTACATACATAGAGATAACAAAGCCCTAGAGTATTTATAATTTAGAGAGGTACGTAGAGATAACATAGCCCTAGAGTATTTATAATGTAGAGAGGTACATAGAGATAACAACAAATTGTTTTGTAACGTTAATCCTTTGTAGCTTCGACGACTCCATATATTCCTGTGATTACTTGAATGCCGAATGCCTGTATTCCATCTTTATAGTATGAGTGTTGCTGACACCAAAACTAGGATATTGTCATCTAGTCATATATACTCGAAACCATTCCTTCCAGCTGCAGTACCCCTCAGAATTCATTGAAAATATTTGGTAACTGGGCCTTAATTCCTTCTGATTAACAATTTTAGATTTTAAATGTTTTTTTTCAAGACGTTTTTTTCATCGTTCTCCAAAAGATATAATATTTTTCATTTCGAACAGCCATAAACTTTTCCTTGGCTAAAAAAATTTACCATCTTTCCATAGCGAAAACTTTTTGTCCTTTACAGATATTTTCTAGATTAACATTTAAAGCCATGGGAATGAACAAGCATAATTTCATGTACAATCTAAAATTTTTACCAAAGGTTAGGCATACGCTGCAACATTTCTTATAATTTCAAAATGATTATGGATATTTGACTTTTCAAATACTTTTTATTTTCCATACTTCTATGTAACATGGCCCTTAAATACTAACCCCACCTCAAGCAAACAAATTAAAATTTGAAAATGTTAAAAATTTGAATTTAAATTAATTTTCAGTTTTAAAGGTTAATTTTACTTTCATCCTTTCATATTCATGCCTTTTATAAATTATTAATCGGGAAAATTTTAAACTTGTCTTTTTTTCATACTTTAACATTATGTTTCACCATAATTCCCCCCCACCCACCTTTATTATTCTACTTCTTCTTTTTTTACAGTGAGAGAATTCATCTCTGTTTATTGAATAAACGAACTGTTAAACTAAATGCAACTTTATTATCCTTGCATTTAAGCTTTCCATTGTAAAGTCGAACTTTACCCAACAAATTTTGCATATTTTTAAAAATGGCTGTCTTTACTTTAAATTTGCGGCATTTTTGCATATGGCGGCCAAATTGAAAATGGCCTCTGCTTTTCAAATCTTCACAAGGAAAGGGTTAAAGGCAGGGAGTAAGGAATAGAAGGGAGATATAACTGACGCGGTTCGCCCTACCATATGATTATACAATATACATGCTTTACAGACGAAGTACTCCATTTGAAAGAGTTTTTTTTAAGGTCGTCTTTTAATTTTTTAAATGTAGTTACTTTACCATAACAAATAAAAACAATCTTATTTAATATAAAAAATACGTTTGTATTGCTAATAATTTTGCATCTTAAAAAATGAATTTATTTGGCGATGTTCAGCATACTTTTTTCCCTGTTAAATGTATTCAATGACCTTTTCTGAATACATGTAATTGTGCATAAAACGACATTTAAATATTTCTTATTGAAATGGAGTACTTCGTCTGTAAAGCATGTATAATCATATGGTAGGGCGAACCGCGTCAGTTATATCTCCCTTCTATTCCTTACTCCCTGGTTAAAGGACGTTATATTAGAATAAAGTTAATCCAATTTTTTGATTTAAATCCATTCTTAATATTAATTAGAAAAATAGGGTTTGAAATCCTGCAATGTTACCAAACAAGCTCGATTACTTTCCAAAAAATAAGGAATATATGAGGGCGCAAAGCGTACCAATAATCCAAAAAAAACTAAGATTCTTGAATTTTTTAGGATTTATTAAAACTGACCGATGAGATGGGAGAAGACAAAATTGTTGTGAGACAATTGAGACCCGGCCCATCCAAAGATTACAGGTATTATTTTTACATTTTACATTTTACATTTTACATTTTACATTTTACATTTTACATTTTACATTTTACATTTTACATTTTACATTTTACATTTTTCATTTTACATTTTACATTTTACATTTTATATTTTACATTTTACATTTTACATTTTACATTTTACATTTTATATTTTACATTTTACATTTTACATTTTACATTTTTCATTTTACATTTTACATTTTAAATTCTAGATTTTAAATTTTACACTTAACATTTTACATTTTACATTTTACATTTACATTTTACATTTTACATTTTACATATTACATTTTTCATTTTACATTTTACATTTTAAATTCTAGATTTTAAATTTTACACTTAACATTTTACATTTGTCAATAAGGACCGAAGAAACTGAAAAGCCTGACCTTCATAACTTAAATGGATTAAAAAAAGTGTTAGGCCAAAAATTAGAGTCTACTTGTTTCAGATTTTATCATTTTCAAAAATTGTTTGAATGATTTTACTTGTTCTGTTCGAACATAGCACACTATTTTACAATATTTTGAAAAAAAGATAAATTTTTCAACAGATAATTGAAAATGTTCAACAGCTAAGATTTAAGATAATTGAATAAAAGTGAATGACGACTAAGGTTTTTACATTTTTTTAATCTAAATGTTGTCAGTTAGATATATCGGATGGATATTGTTAATCTGAACAACTTTCAGAAAAAAGTTTTTCTGAAAAATTCAAATTGACATGCGAAAAGTGTAGAAAAAAATCACAAATGTCTCGAAAATTGTTTGATTAAGGGCGATACAAATATTTTTTTTGGATTTTGGCTCAAAATTAGTTTTCTGGCAATAACATTTTTAACGGATTTTGATGATTTCAACATTTCTGAATTAATGTTTTTCAACACGAATCTTTTGATACACCATTCGACGTTAGTAAATTTTTCGACTCTAAAACTCACAAAACCGGTTTCCGCATGGAAATTTTGATTTAAAAAATCGTCTTCCCTACATGCTTCTAGTAAATCTAAATCTCTTCAATTCCGAGTGACATAATGCAATTGGAAAAATCGACCCCCCTTTCTGTGGCCAATAACCATTAAAAGATTTTCACGTCCAATCACAACAGTACTCTTTTAACCTGCAATAAAAGATTTTCTTTTTAAGATAATTTTTGGACGCACTTTATATTGTCATATTGCAAAAACTGAGATCCTCAAATCCTGGAAACAGATCCTATTCTTCTCTACTCGATCAAATCATGAAAATCAATCATTGGCTTATGAACGGAAATAAAGAAAATAACAAAAAAGAAAATGTACTTTACATTGACACAAAACCACATAGATTCAGCCTGATTATAAAAAGCTGCATCAATTTTTAAGTCAGGGTCAACTTTGAAATGTCGCAACGTCTTGGGCTTTGATTTTACTTCTCTAACTCACTTGTGATTTTCTATAGACCTTTATACCTCCTCAACCCCTCAACCCCATCTCCTTGCCCCACTTTACAAAAGTGCTTTTATAAAGCACTTGTTGTCAGATTTGGTTTTTTTAAAGTAATTGGCAAAAGATCTGGTAAAAAAGTTTTTTTTCTTTATTTTGATGAAAAATATTTTCTGGAAAAACTTAAACCCTACATCTTTCCATACACACATAATTTCCTAAATAAGAAATGTGATATTCTAGTTTTATTAGGATTTTTTCAATATTTTTTCAATATATTTAAATTTAAGCCGCGCCTCAAATATGCTTGGTTCCATTTAAAATTGTATTAAATTTTTAAAAATTTAAGCCGGCGCTCAATTGAAACCGGTTTTCTGGGGATTTGAGACGCAGCTTGAATTCATTAAATTCCAAACTTTGAATTATCCTAATTTCTAATTTTTGATTAAGGAAATTTTAAAACTTGAAATCTTTTTAAGACAGAAAAAAAAATCCTCATTGCGAATCCGATATCGCATTAAGGGCATTTGGGAATCGGGCAATGTAACTGGAGGGTTTATTATAATAACGTTAACAGTCCCTTTAACGGAATTGTCCGGTCTAAACTTTGTTCCCATGAATGTATTGTAAAAGGATTATATATTCATTTACCTTCAAAGCAACTTTGCCAGGCGAATTAAATTCCTAAAATTTTTCGTAAATGCATTTCAATTATTCAGAAATTAAAATTTTTATAAATATTCTCTTTCATTACATAAAATGCAAGGTTAAACACATAATTCAAAGTGAATACAGTGAGAACCAGAAAACTTGGAAATAGGAAGACACCTTTATAAAATATAATTTAAAATTTTCAAATAAATATGAAAGACAGCTGTTGCGCAATGTAAACAGACCCAAGGAACCCGGCCCAATATTTTTTGTTAATACAATCATAGTGTACAACTTATACTGAATCATGTTTTTAATTCGTACAATGTGAACTGAGCGCCGCGGCTAGTACAGGCTAGGGGCAGATTTTAAATTGTTTGATTTAGATTCTTTGAAAATAGGAAAGTTTTGTAACTTAAGGGGAAAAATGGCAAGCGTAATCATTGCAAATAACTGTATAACACGAGCAGTCGTAGAACATTTGAATTTCCGAGCCGGGTCAACCTTTCTGGTCCCAGTTTGTACTGTACCTGGCTCTATGGACAGGACCAAGAAATAGACCTGGAACCGCTATATCTGCAGATGCGTCAAATCTGTGTACTGCAGTGGGAGGAGATCAAAACAAAGAATTCAGGGGCAACGCATCAGTTCTTTAGGAAAAAGGGCCCAAGGGGTGGAATAGGAATATATTGCTATTGTATTTTCCATATTGACCAGAAAGCCAAAAATCATAAGTATTCGCTCTAACTTGATATATTAACTTTGTTTTTGTTGGACTGTAATATCACATCAGAGCTTTAGTCCTTTCCCTTCAACTTCTGTGGGGGCACTGGGTTTGTTTACATTCCTCCCACAGTGTACATAAGTACACAATTTGCGTATATCTAAGTTGGGCGTTCTTGCACATATTCCATAGACAGGACTAGCCAGTGCAACAAGGTTGACGCGGTTACTTTTACTAAAGGGGCAGAGGTGCGTGATAAGCGTAATTTCAACCCTCCATGAACAGAATACCTGATTCACAACCGTACCCGTACAAACTTTGTCATATCAAGAAATGAACTAGATGTCAATGTTCTAATTTTTTAAATCTAATTATTTTCGTTTATGATTTCTTTCCAATTGTAATTCGCGCAACTCTATTGCAGAATAACATATAGTGATTATTTGAATTTAATATTTTAAATAAAACCTGATAAAACAACGATATCGTCCACACTGTTGATTAGATAAATGGTTTAAGGGTACCATAGTGAATTGAGCATTACCATCTTTGCATTGAGGCTCGCTTACAGCCCCATTAAAATGAGCCCATTTCGAGTTAAATGATGTGAGGAATATCGTCAATGAATTATTGATTACAGGATTATCAATAAAAAGTTCACTTAACCCTATAAAGGCTGGGGGGTCTGAATCTATGTATAGCCCCTAGAAAAAGGCCATAGAGAATAGGTATAGGGTTGAAATGCATGTTCATAGCCCAATTTTTCATGGCTATCTTAGTTTTTTTTTACAGACCGGAATTTTTTCCGCTCTGTACCCTACCCTATATATTAAAAAAAATATATTTTTTAAATAAAAAATCCTTTAAATTACTATTCATTAAACGTCGCAATATTTCACGGTTATAGTGTCAAAAATGAGAGTGCTAGGACAAAAAGACTACGGGGGGGGGGCCAAACGCCCCCCAGCCTGTTTAGGGTTAAGATAATGTTGAAATATTCTAAATATTATTTTATTTAGACCTTTACTGAAGGAGATCAAGAATGCTGGAACAAGAAAGATTATCCTCGACTGTGTTGCGGACAATATTCAGGTGAGCTACCAATCAACGTGAGAGATGGATGCTGATTATCAAACTTAAATTTAAAACTGATTTCAAATAAAGTTTAGTCACGTCACTCACGCTTGTTAAAAAATAGATAAATAAATGCATTTCGGTAACACTACAATGATAACCAGAAAACTCTGGAATTGGAGGACGACTTTACAGCAATACTTAAGTGAATTTGATGTTGTTACAAAAAATATAGTTTTACTAGACACTCATCAAATCAATAATTAATTGGGTCTGTTTACACAGGCTCAATGCTTTTTGGACGTAAAAGTCGTCTTTATATTTCAGAGTTTTCTGGTCACTGTATAAGCTTTAAAATTTAAAACGTGATAATTCATAGAATTCAACTATCATGGTAATGGTAAAAAAATTGTGTATTAATTTGTAATACTGTTAATAAAATGTAATAAGAATCATGATGATAAGATGACACTAATAATGAAAATTACGATAATAATAAAAATAATAATAATAATAATAATAATAATACTATAATAATACTATAGGAAATACTCCGCCAGGCTCAGCAGGTTGGGATGATGACAGCCTACCATAATTATATAATCACTAGCTTAGTAAGTTTTTCTTTATTTTTTTGTTAAAGAATTTGTTCTCGATTTTCAATTAGGGTCACTACTCACATAAACCATTAAATTATATATAATGTAAACAATTTGTTTTTTCCTTTGGGCTTTTTATACTTTAACCTGCAGTGTTACCTTAAGATGATAAACTTTTAAAATGTCCTCGACTTTAAAAAAGATTTCTAGAATATTCCTTATTTTTATACAATTTACTTCTATTTTCTTATACCTTTTTAGGACCCATATGTTCTATAATAGATTTTAAATTATTTTTACATTTCTTTCTTTACGAAAACCTTTAAAAGTGTCAAAGTGTTCTGCGATTATATCAATACAATAAAGACGACTTTTTATTTATAATACTTTGATCCCTGACAAGCATTTTTCAAATTATAAGTTAATTATTAAACAAAGTGAAGCTGCTGAGTGACAACATCTCTTTGTTTACAACTGTATGTGTGTCTACTGTTTAAAAGCTTTATGGAAATTAAAATTAAAATATAATGGAATTGAGTCTTTGCCACAAACTCTGCTTTTCTAAATCCTATATCTTTGGATTCCAATGCCGTAGACCTTAGATATTTCAAACTATGAATTCTGTTAGATCAAATAATGTAAGTTTGAAATTTCAAAGATTTAAGACATTTGGTTCCAAAGATATAGGGATTATAAAATCAGAGTTAGTGGCAAATTCCTTTGTTCAAATTATGTTGATATATATAACGACAAACTGTGTAATTAAGGATCTGCATATGGTGGAGATGGAAGATTTTAAATACGGTGGAACTAACATCACAGCCTTTAGACTAGTTAATCCAAGCAGTGAACTAGTTCAAGGGGTAATTATACATCGGAAATATTTTTTTATATGATTTTGTGAATATTTAAAACAAACTCATTAAAGGCCTCGGTTTTCATACTTTGAACCAGGACCTCTAATGAACTGAACGTTTTAAATTTTAAATAAATGTTTGATTTGTACAAGAAAGGTCCGGGGGAGAGGTCCTGTACAACAGAATATGAAGGTTGTACTTGTAATTGTTCAGGAAATATATTTTTATTGTTATTTTTACATTTGAAATGTTAGGTACTACATGAATATGTACATTACACAGAGATCTTGTTTGTTTAGGTTGTACATGAATATGTACATCACAAAGGGCTCTTGTAGATTAATATGTTAGTTTAGATTGTGCATGAATATGTTAACCAGCAAAAGATATTGTACATTAAGTATGTTTAGGTTGTACATTGTATATAAATAGGTACATTAGGGAAAGATCTTGTACATGAAATATATTTAGGATGTACATGTACGGGATTGATACTGCCTAAGGTTTTCTTGTTTTATAGAGTTTTCTTACGTTTAATATTTAGGTTGCAACAATGTACATGAATAGGTACATCAGGGAGAGATCTTGTACACAAAATATATTTAGGTTGTACGGGAATGGATACAAGGTGAGGTACTGTACAACCGTGCAATACCTTTCGGAGGAAAATCTATCAAGGTAAGAAATTATGTTCTATATTTTTTTTTACTTGTACTTTCTCCATGTACCTTGTACAATGTACATCCAGTATTTTTAACAGTTTGCACAAGTTCAAGTTCTACTTGACAATTTTGCACATTTAACTAGATTGAGATTAAAAGAAAGTGTCAAGAGTGAAAAATTAGTGAAACATATTTTGAATAATGATTATAAAATGTTCAAAATTTTGAAACAAAAATCATGATTTTTCGCTATTGATTCTTTTATTAAATAAATTGAATATAGTTTAAAAAACTGTCCAGTTTGGAATTTTTTTTTGTTAATTGTCAACATTTTTATTAAAAAATTTAAAGAGCAAATCATTTATTTTAAAGTCCAGTATCTTTTTTCATGAGGATTAAAACTAAAATCTTTTTATTGAATTCAAGATTAGAAATATCAAAAAAAAGTCTCTAAGTGCTATTCTTTAAGTATCGTGAAAAAAATACCTTTGACCCATCTTTCAGAAAGGTTTAAGTCCTGAAAAAATGGATCTATATATGTATAGATCTGAATAGAATGAATAATTTTATTCGAAGTTTTTGTCACATATCATGATGGTAGAAATTACTGATTACTATTTATGGTGGAAGGGTGCCAATACGACGCTTCATCCAACCGCTCTACCAGTAAGTAACTAGCTGTTTAGATGTATGTGTGACTAATCTGTTTCCAACCAAACCAAACTTCTGAAGAAATCCTCCAAAAAAATGGAATTGCGCATTTTCTGTTTTACACCAAAACGACTAAAAAAACTTGGTTCAAAATTAGAGGCCTCGACATTTCTATTTTAAGATTAAAAAGAAACAAAGAATTGGATTAACATTTTATGAAATTAAATTGAATATATTTCATTTAAAGCACACAATTTTAATATCTTGGTTACATTGGTTGGCAATAGTGCTTTATTAGTTAGCATGTTTACTTCATACATATATAGAGTTTATATATTTATAGCCTTAATTTCAATATGCAGATTTAGAGGCTCCCAACAAACATTTTTGCCGATGTCGAACATAAATCAAAGCTCCGACTCGATACTTTGCTCATGCTTCGACATACAGTCAGAGCTCCGACAACTTTGTCCGACAGAAAAGTTGTCGGTTAGATAATCTTGGACACTATGAAGCTTGTCGGTGACCTACGTCGCAGTTTGCGGGCGGAGATTTAGCAACCTATATCGCAGTCTGACAGCGAAGCTTGGGAACAATTTAAAATTTAAGGAATTTGCTATAAATTGTTAATTTCGGAAGGTTTTTCGAAGTTTGACGTCAGAGAATGAAAACAAGGATATGACATCACATTCAAATCCATACTTTCACAGTACACACAAATTCAGGGGTAAACTATCTCACATGATATATATTTGAAAGTAACAGATTAGATGTTTAAAAAAATCATAAAATCCACTGCATTAATTTTTGGAATCCTATACTTTTTAAAGAATTGAACTTCACTTTTGTAACTGTGAAATATCGTCAAATGATGGGCAGAAATAATGCTTTTAATGAGTATGGAGAAATAGTATAACTTTTGATGGAACTAGTTCACCCTTTCTCCAGTGTGTATGTAAAACATGTTGATATTCACTATTCAGGAAAACGTTATTTTTTCAAAAAATTAAATCAATATATGTAAGATAGAAATATTTTCTTTTCGCTATTTTCTTTATACTGCAAAGCTATGATACAGATAAAATTTATTTTAATAATTGTTATTGTTTCTCATGCCTCGCAAGATGACGCTTTTAAGCATGAAAAATACAAGCTTTTCCCTCTCCACTTAAAATTACGTTTTGTATGAGTAACGTAAATTTTGTATTTGTAATTAAAGAAAACAGACTGAATTTGTTGAATAACAAAATAAACAATTTTATATCGTAATGTGTGTAATGTTATGCAAATTGTTTTTCGTTTACCTTAGCTATATTTTTTAACCTGATGGTGGAAACCCTTGATATACCCATTTAAGCTTTGCTGATTCATATGAATGATATATCTATGTTTTCGGTTTCGAGAACTATTCATTTTCATTTTTTTCCTTGTAAATGTGACTTGGGCATTTATTGCTTTGAGATCAAGGAAGAAATTTGGTTAGAATGAACACTTTTTTAGCAATGATATCCTTTATTTCTGAAAATTTTAAGATAAACATAACAGCAGCCAGAAAACTGAGACTTTTGAGAAATTAAAAAAAGATGTGATTTTTTTCGAAAAAATTGGAATATTAATTCACATTCAAATTTTCTGACATTATGGCGTTTTGTTACATTGGGTTTTTTTACATTTGGCGTTTTGTTACATTGGTTTTTTTTTACATTTGGCGTTTTGTTGCATCGGGCGTTTTGTATCATTGGGACACCAACCTACCGGAAAAATTATCAAATGGCAAAATGTGTGTATCATTGAAATCAATCTTTACCAATAATTCTGTTTTTCAAAATTATTTTTCTATCTATACTCCCCCTGGCTTCCCTACCCTGAACAACTCCAAAATATCTACGTACACCTTTTTTCTTATCTAACAGGTTTTAAAGTTGAGCTCATCGAACTGAGCTTAATAGGTTTGATTAGAAGAGAATAGAAAGAAAGATTGAACCATTCACCGCACCTTTCCCCGGGGGGGGGGGGGTAGAGGAGGGGAGATTTTTCAAGAATGCATTTTTTCTCTTCAGACACTCTCAGACATTTATGTTTTTAAGAAATGCATGGATAAAATATATTAAACATTGAACACTTTGTTTCACAAAAACAATCAAAATGAATTTTTAAAAAATCTGTATTACAGCAACATTTTTCCTGGCTTTTATGTGTAATACCAATAAAGAAGACTTACCGCTTAGCTTATTGAGTAATATCTGTTTATAAACGTATCTTTAACACTTTAAGAAGCTAATTACTCGAAATAAACACTTATTGAGTAATATCTGTTTATAAACGTATCTTTACGTATCTTTAACACTTTAAGAAGCTAATTACTCGAAATTAACTCTTACTATTTAATCTCTAGATCTTTTCAACCAGATGATGTAAAATTTTAATATCTTAAATTTTGACTTTTTGTTCAAGCAGAATTCACGGGCAGTCGTAGTACATTTGAATTTCCAAGCCGGGTCAACCTTTCCGGTCCCAGTTTGTCTAGCTTGACTAGCCGGTGCAACAAGGTTGACGCGGTTAGACTTTGGGTTGAATTTACTTTTACTAAAGGGTCAGAGGTGCGTGAATTCATAGTTTGAATACGTGCAACTAGATAACATCAAGTTGCAAAGAGTAAGGATTAGAAAATTGGAGTTTGATTCAATTTTTCAGTGCCTTTATAATTCATATAAAACTATTTCAAGTATATATAAGTATAGCATGGCTTTAGTAGAGTTAGAATTACATACACAAAACAATTTACAACCTTCGAAAATAAATTATCGAAAAGTTAAAAGTACAAATGTATATTCTAATCCACATTTTTCTTAAAGTCGTTGAGTTATTATTATTATCATTTTTATTATCATTATTATTATTATTATTAATGGTACGTAAAATATTTTTTATGCCATTAAGATTAACTATTTATCAGACAAAAGATCAAATTTAATCTTTAGATCAGAAAAAATAATTTTTAAAAATTTTATTTTTTAAAATCTCGTGGGTGCACCTTGTATCTTTTGGAAAAGAGTGATGAAGCTTTAGAAAATACCATTGTTTTTTCAGCACTGCAAAACCATTGTATTTTCAGCACTGCACCACCATTGTATTTTCAGCACTGCACCACCATTGTATTTTCAGCACTGCACCACCATTGTATTTTCAGCACTGCACCACCATTGTATTTTCAGCACTGCACCACCATTGTATTTTCAGCACTGCACCACCATTGTATTTTCAGCACTGCACCACCATTGTATTTTCAGCACTGCACCACCATTGTATTTTCAGCACTGCACCACCGTTTTTTTTTTTTTTTTAGACTGAGACTGCTCTGGTGTATGACGCTGCACTTTTGTTTGCTAAAGCGCTTAATGAGCTGGACAGATCACAGGTAAAAATTAGAAGAAAAAAATTTAAACGCGTTTAAAATTCTATTCTGTTTCTAGAATTAAGATTGTATAGAATAGGTTTTTAAATCCGTAAATTCGTACGAAAAACACGATGTTTTACTCTTCAATGTAAATAAAAACTGGATACCCGGTTAATAATATGTTAATATTAGAGAAAAGATTTTTGTGGATTAGGTTGGAAAATACGCAATTATAAATTCTGACCTTGTGGGCAAGATTGAGAGTCTAGTTCAAATGCATTTTTATGACCAAGAAGGGATTTAATGGCTGATCTTGGCCAATATATCTGTCATGACAATCTAGGTTTGGGTTAGGTTAATATTTACTTACAGTTGAAGAAACTTCTTCATAGGTAACCTGATATGGTGTATATTTTGGCTCTTTAAAGGGAGTAACCAGCATTTTACGGTAGTTTAACTGAGAATGTAGTATTGCGGAGAATGTTTTTAGTTTACTATAGAATTTTTATTTTCGCTATCTAATAAATAAAAAAATAGATTCTTAAAACTTAACAACCCAAATGGAGGATTTAATGTCAACTTTGCGCTAAAACTCAGTTATTACACATCATTAAAACGTTTTATATCAATGTCTCCAATGAAACCAAAAAACTATCTCCACAATACTACTTGCTCAGTTCAACTACCATACATTGCCGGTCACTCTCTTTAAAGGGTACTATTGGGATTAGCACTCCCTGTAAGTTTTCTTATTTCACAGAAAGTATTGTTTGCCACATCGGGTTGTAAAGATATATGGATTAGAATATCAAATTTTTATTTTGTTTTCCAAAAGTGTCCAGTTTGGCTTCATGTTTTTGTTTTTAAAAATAAAACGGAAAATGGTTGATACAGTTTCTATATTGACATGATTTATCTGACAATTTTTCGGAACTAACCTATACTTTTATTTACTCTACAGAGGTTTGGTCCATCACCATCATCGAATTTTAAATGTATATGTTTCAATACAATGAAGACGACTTCATATTTCAACTTTGGTTAATATCAAGCTTTCAAATAGCTTAGATGCACATAAAAATGGAAGAGAAACAATAAAAAGCTGTCGATTAACATATTATTTTAAAGTTAATTGTAAAATTTTGGATACAAAAAAATTAGAAATCAAAAGCTAAAAAGAAAGTTTGTGTTTAGGATATACAAACTGTAAACCTTGATTGTGAGAGCGAAGAGACCTGGCAGCATGGGAACAGTTTAATAAACTACATGAAGCTGGTAAATATTAAAATAAAGCTTGAGGAAGAATAATTATTCGTCTCTCACTCTTTAATGAAGATCCAGTTTTTATATGTCAATGTTGAATTTTATAATTGAGTATTTAACTAACATAAAATCGTGTGTGTACTTATATGACCTAGATTTTATGTTAATGTACTTACATAACTTAGATTTTATGTTTATGTACTTATATAACTTAGATTTTATGTTTATGTACTTATATAACATGGATTTTATGTTTATGTACTTAAACAACTTAGATTTTATGTTTATAAACTTAAACAAGTTAGATTTTATGTGTATTTACTTATATAACTTAGATTTTACCTGAAGGTAAAAAAAAGGTTCCATGGAAAGCTCATTGACCTTGTATTTTTTTATAATCTATAAAATAAGAAGTAAAAAGCTATAAAAATTGCTCTAACATTTAGTTTTCACTTCAACACGTTTTAAACTGTTAAAAACAAATATTTCCAAAATTGAAACTCTGATAAAAATAGGATCAAAACTATTTGGAAAACATTCATCTTCTTTTCTTTATCTCGTTATAAATAGAAATAAAAAACTGTTTTTTACCTTTAAATTAAACAAAGGGTTATCATCATCATATTACCAAAAAATATAGAGTCAAAAATAACAATTTTTGACGAGTATTTGGAATATTCAAATTTAAAGTTATAAATTTTTACAACAAAATAAAGCCCAGCAAAGGTTAAAAAAGGGGTTTATAGAACCCCTTGCACTTGGTGTTTTTATTGTATTAAAAGTGTTGAAGAAATTGATGATTTGAGTTTATCCTCGTATCTTTCTTTTTATAGATATGATTGATTGATTGTAAGGATTCTTCATTTTCCTTGGTCTCCAATATATACTTTATCAGCCTGGCCCCCACCTTTCATATCCTAAACCCTCTCCCCAAGGGTTGAACCATGCGCCAACTGAAGAAGCTTTTTTGTTAAAATGAGATTAAAAAAAACTGTAATTTTTCATAAAACCTTTGATTTTCTAATGATGATCAAATCATAGAAGAATTTACAGTTTGAAATATTAAATGTCTACTACTGCACCTAAGACTACTATACCGGATATGAGGATTAGAAAATTAGAGTTTGAGGGAGTTCCTTTACGTACATTACGCTTATGGGAAGAAATTCGTATATGACTAAAACGGAGACATCTGAACTATGTATCTATATGTTCTCCTCTCCCATCCAACCCATCTTTCAAACCTTCAGTTATTGGTTTCAGGACAAAATAATATCAATAAATCCCCCGGGGAAATGTGAGACCAACTTATTCTTTCATCAGACCTGCACTTTTTACAAGATAAAAAGGTTGTTTTCCCCCGGCCCTTATCTATCGAGGATAGGACTAGGCACCGTTTACGGCAAAAGAATGTTTTTGCAACTAACAACCAACATTTACTAAACTCATCATATAAAGGTATCAATAATTTAATATTGATGTTATTATTATTGTGCCAATCTCAATATAACGAGTTTAACGAGCGGTTAAATTATAGAAAATTATCTGTTCATAAAACGGTTCGAAAAAAACGAACAACCCATCCAGCTGATTCCCTCGTTAACGAACTGTGAACGAACGGTTTTCAAAAGTCAAGAACGTGTTCAGCCCTATAACGAGGACCCTGGTGAAAGAAAAAATCTGATTTAAGATTAGGACAGAGTTGCTATTTATCAAATCGAAATGGGGATAAAAACTTGAAAAGCTGTTGAGATAAATTCCATTTTTCACGGATCTAACAGTTTTCTCTAAAAGTTTCACCCGCAAGAAGGGGATAGGATAGGATAAACCTATTATTGATGAAATTAATTTGATGAATAATATGTTTGTCAGAAAAATTGAGAATATTCAATTAGGAATCTCTGTGATATTTTAGCAAAAACAAAAAACTTGATAAATTTTAACACATTTAAAACAAAAAAAAATTGTCTAATCCACTGTTTCTTAAACAACGATGCAAGTGTACCTGTGTGATAATGTCATACAATTTTAATTACCTTTACATACTCTTTCATTATTTAAAAGAAATAGAATAATATATACATAAATGTCCACACATTAAACCCTGGATTTAAAACAAGAGACGGATTGAAGAGCTTACCATGCATTAAACTTTCAAACCATTTGGAATTCTTTATCTCGAGCAGATTATTGTACAGGAACATATTATATAATATTGTACATGAACATATTATATAATATTGTACATGAACATATTACATAATATTATACGGTATTGTGTGGACAGTTAATTTTAATATTTTTCAACAATGAGGTATTACAGTGTCAAAAATTGTGTAAACAACGATGTTTCGGGTTCAGAAATTTTTCATAACATACGAAAAGAGTGGATAGAACAATTGTTATCTGGAAGACAAAACACCCAATTTTTATATGCTCCTACAAAACAAATAGATTATTTCTATTAAAAAATCACTTGTTTCACGTTAAGTTCATTTATGTAAAATAAATATTTTGACATTTTAAGTTCTTCAATAACATAAAAATTAAGTCTAACCTAATTTAGATTTATTATTAGTTCAGAATTGCTTTTCATTCTAAAAGTCAGCAACATATATTCCTCAGAGTTAATTGTACAATGTAGATTCCAGAAGTAAAGAATTTGATAATAAACAAGATGTTATTAAGGAGAAGGATTTTATTTTTTTCTCTATCTGTCATAAAAATCATATGAGCTTATTTTCTTTGCTTGAATATTGTAGGCTTCACTTTCAAACAATAATGTCTTAAAACACTGATTTACGAATTAAGATCCCCCCAGGTAGAATTTCGGATCGGGTCATTGTGTACAGTGGCTGTACAATAAGAAGTCTAAAATTCCAGATAATATTGTGCATGACCATATTATATTATATTGTACAGGAACATATTATATAATATTGCACAGGAACATATTATATAATATTGTACATGAACATATTATAAAATATTGTACATGAACATATTATAAAATATCATGTACATGAACATATTATATAATATTGTATTAGAACATATTGTAGAACATTGTATACATGAACATATTATATAATATTGTACATGAACATATTATGAAATATTGTACATGGACATATTATATAATATTCTACATGAACATATTATAAAATATCATGTACATGAACATATTATATAATATTTTATAAGAACATATTGTAGAACATTGTATACATGAACATATTATATAATATTGTACATGAACATATTTTTTAATATTGTACTTGAACATATTATAAAATATTGTACATGAACATATTATAGAATATTGTACATGAACATATTATATAATACTGAACATGAACATATCATAAAATATTGTACATGAACATATTATATAATATTGTACATGAACATATTATAAAATATTTTGCATGAACTTATTATATAATACTGAACATGAACATATTATTAAATATTGAACATGAACATTTCATAAATATTGTACATGAACATATATTATATAATATTGTACATGAACTTATTATATAATATTGTACATGAACATATATTATATAATATTGTACATGAACATATTATAGAATAGTGTACCTGAACATATTATAGAATATTCTACACGAACATTATAGAATAGTGTACCTGAACATATTATAGAATATTCTACATGAGCATATTATATAATATTGTACATGAACATATTATATAATATTGTACATGAACATATTATAGAATATTTTACATGAACATATTATAGTTAATGCTAAGTGTATTTAAAAATCTTTAATATAATTGTATTAAGAATTTTCATCTTGAAGGTAGTTGGTCGCTTGTTTTAGAGCGGATGTAAGAATATTTTTTTTTAAGAATAAAGCTTATATAATGGTGCCCTGAAAGATAGAACCAATAATTTGAGCGGTGGCTTAAATTTAAGCCGCCGCTCAAATATAGTTGGTTTTACTTAAAATTGTATTCAATGTTTCATGAGATTTAAGCCGGTGCTTAATTAAAGCCTATTTTTGGGGGATTTAAGACTCGGCTCAAATTCATTAAATTCGGACACTGGAATGATTAAATATGCAAAAGCAAATACAAACTTTACGTATTTTTATTGTAAAACAAAAATCTAACGTAAAAACGTGTTCCCTATGTTCTTTTCACTACATTCCATTGCTTGGGAATCCAGCTTCGCCTGGAAACCATGATATCCCCTTAAACCTCAACCCACTTAACTTTTAACCTTTAAACCAAGCTAACAATATTTCTGTGAATTTTCCGAGATTCTTAATCAAAATTTGAGGCAAATATGTCAATGGATTCCTAATAAACAGACAGACATACATGGTGAGTCAAAAAAAGTGTGATTTGCGGCGCCTGGTGCAAATTTATACCTTTTTTCATGCAACTCTCCTGTATGGTGTTTTTTTTCAATATTTTTAAAAATTCGTAATTTTTTTTGGTACTTCAATGGCCCAAAAAAAAATCCGCGAACCTTTTTCACTCAAAATCAAAAGTTCAGAAAAACAAAAATGTGCATATATATTTTATTTCTGTCTAAATCTAAAAATTTTTAAGATTGAATTACAGAATCTCAGGAAATTTGTAAAATTGTAATTAGAAAATTTGCAATTTTCAATTCTAGTATAATTTTTACGGAAAAATTGTTTTTCAATAGTTTTTAAGGTTTCATCTGAACAGCGCTTATTTAATACTTTAGAATATACTAAGAAGAAAGGAACTAGAGAATTTAAATAACTTATCCTTAAAAATTAGACCAGAAATAAAAATTGCGAATTTTCTTATTACAATTTTGCGAATTTTCTGTGATTCTTTGATTCAATCTTTAAAAAATTTTAGATTTCCATAGATATAATTTTTATGTACATTTTTGCTTTTCTGAACTTTTGAATTTGCGAGAAAAAAAGATTCGCTGATTTTCTTTTAGACCATTAAAATATTGAAAAAACACCATACAGGAGAGTTGCACAAAGAAAGGTACACTTTTGCACCAGGCGCCGCAAATCACACTTTTTTTGACTCACCCTGTATATAAAGATTTACAGAAACATACGAAAGGTTTATGCATTTAGTATCCTGCAATATACTTTATATCATGCAATAAATAATAAAAACTATTTTTGGATCATATTCCGTCAACACACATTGTAAAGCATAGTCTTTTACCCATATTAGAAGCTTTATGAATTATGCTCTTTAATTAGACTGTAATTTTATGGAACCTTTACTTTCAGATTGGCTTTTTCCATTAACCCTAAACAGACTGCAGAGGTTTTTTGTCCTAGCACTCTCATTTTTGACACTATCACCGTAAAATTTGTTCACTTTTAACAAAAAGAAATTAAAACATTTTAAAAGCTTTTTTTATTATAGGGTAGGGTAAAGGGTGGTAAAAAGTCCGTTCTGTTAAAAAAAACTTAAATAGCCTCTAACTTATTGTTACTTAAAGCTACAGATCTAAAAACTATATTTTTGAATATCCCTTGAAAAATGGATGTAGAAGCATGTTTCACACTATGATAATTGTTTAAAAAAAATATTTTTAACATTTTTTTGACAATTTTTTTAGCATTTTTTTCAACCCTCCCTATCACATTGAGAGAAGACGACATTAAATTAGTTTTATGATTCTGTTTTTTTGAGGCATTTCCGTGTTGAGTCGTTTCCGTGTTGATGCGTTTCCATGTCACACTTTTGGATATCACTGTATTAAAAGAAACATCATGTTACAAAGTTTTTAGGATTAGAAAATTAAAGTCTAAATAAAGTAATCAGTTTCTTTATAAAAAAAATCTATGATTTCTGGATTCTGGTAATAAATCTCTCATGTTTACTGACCCGCCATGTACGGCCTGGACCCTGTATCTATATTCTGAAAAGAACTTGTAAAGGGATAATGTAACATCTCTTTACCGTAGAATTTAGTGAATAAAATATATTATAAAGTCTCTCAGTATGAATAGTATACAAAATATCTTGAGTATAACCTCATTCTTCAAGTATAGACCCCCCCCCCCCCCCGTCTACTATTCAGGATTTTTTCCCCTTTGGCCTTTCAATAAAATAAGTAAGCATAAAGAGGGGAAGAGCTCAGGTCTAAGCTTTCGTTTCTCGTTGGGCCTCATTTTTGACTTGGGCTTTTGGATTTAAGTTGCATCTAATTGTCTACGGAGTTCAGTTCATAAAATCGGTTAATTAATGTATTTTGCGGATTTTATGGTTGTAGTTGGAGCATTCCGGGTTTTGATAAGAACTAGACTGAACATTGAGCCTTAATATCATAGAATCATTGCAAAAGAAAGCTAGAGAAGACCAATTGCCCCTCCCCCCACATTTAATAATTTCAAATTATCAAAAAGTAAACAAAATTCAAATCTTAGAAACAGAAATTATTTTTATATTCCTAGAGTAAAATCTATTAAAATAGAATTACTTCCTTCTCACAATTTCCCTAAGATATGGTATGAAAATAAACGACACTTTTCTAAGCTTTCAAATATCAATCTTATTTCAAGTTTTAAACAGAATTTAATTATTTTATTGAAGATTTTTATCAGCAGAACAAATGTTTTAATTCTAACACATGCTATGTTTGCAAAAGAATCGAAGAAATGTCAAAAATCGGCGTGAGCTAAAAATATGCTTAAAAATGCATGTATTGAGTAGAACTCATAAGGCCTATTTAAGTTTTTTTAACATTTCAAATAAATCTATCATTTTTATTTCTAAAAGTTGTTAGTTTATCGTCGTAAAATACTAACTATCCACCACCAGTTCATATTAATTAAAATGTAAACAATAAATATGTATATAAATATTTGTTTAGAATTGGGGGGGAAATATTTTCACAACCTCTATTTTTGGAGGTTTTAAAATATTTTGTATATTTTTTGTTATATTTTATAAATGAATAATTACTTACTTATTACTTAATTAATTAAATAAAACCAATCAAGGACGGTTTTATTTTCACTGGGCCTACTCAGCAAGTCGAGCCTAAGATCTCACAGCTGTTAATCACGTGACACAAGCTGTCTGTAGTCAGATTTGAGTCTAAGATTGGGGTTTAAAGCCGGGTTTAAGGAATTACGACTTAAGCTGAAGCTTTTAAATCACGTGCTCAGGATGATTATAAAAGTGTATTGATGTAAGGTTAAAGTTTTACCCTCTAAAATCAAGTTTTTTCAATATTTAAAATGTATCAATTTCGAACAGTTTTTAATCTTTTTAAAGAGAGTGTTTGCGAAAAATGAAAGGCTTACGGCGAAAAATAATCGCTTTTGATCTCTACTAATCTAACTTCAATCTTTGAGTCTATAAGAAGAAAATTGTTAAAAACGACTTACACTGTAGAACGTAGCGTCCATACAAATTCAGAAAGTTGCAACATTCAACTCGGATCGTAAAAAAATTTATTTAATTTCAAACAAATCATTCAGTTATTACAAGCAATAGTCATCGATTTTTTTTTCGGCGCATTCCTATATAGTTATTATTTCAAATTTTTTTTTATAAGTTTTGAATATGGATGATTGAGATGGATGGTTTGGTTAATTGATTAACTGATTAGGTTGATATGAATGGTTAGATTAATTGATGAGGTTGATATGAATGGAAAGATTAATTGATTAGGTTGAGATAAATGGTTTGATTGATTAATTGATTGATCAGGTTTAGATGGGTTTATTGATTGATTAATTGATCAGGTTGAGATGGATGGATTGACCGGAAAGGTTAGTTTTGATGCAGCTGGGTTCAGAAGTAACTTTAACCTGGAGATTGTTGAACTTAGAAAGGAAGGACTAACCAAGGTACAAAATTAGGCATTTCATTTTCCAAAATCTACATTTAAAAACATAATTTTTTTTCGTTTTCTTAAAACCTTTATTTTATTAAAATATGGATGATAAAGTGTTTGTTCTGACTCAAAAAGTGTTTAATTCTGGTCATTTTTCTTGTCCTTCTTAAGATGCACTAGATACTTTTGCAGAGAAACCCAGAATAAATTAAGCTCTTATTCATACTTGGTCAGTCAAAGATGTTAAGGGTACCGTGGTGGAAATAGGGTTTTGCCATCTTTGCATGGAGGGTCACTTACGCCTAAGTGACATGGTCAGTGCAAACTGCAACATTGCTGTGTTGTTCCATGGGATATTTAATATCCTAACTTGAGTCTATGTCGTTTTATTATTTAATAGTTTTCTAGTTCTCACTGTATACATATATTCTGTTCAGTTCTATATATATATAGGTTAACATGTATATAGGTTGGTAGTTGGGAGTCTAGGACTGTATATATATATAGGTTGGTAGTTGGGATTCTGGGACTGTATATATATATAGATTGGTAGTTGGGATTCTGGGACTGTATATATATAGGTTGGAAGATGGGATTCTGGGACTGTATATATATATAGGTTGGTAGTTGGGAGTTTGGGACTGTATATATATAGGTTGGTAGTTGGGAGTCGGGGACTGTATATATATATATAGGTTGGTAGTTGGGATTCTGGGACTGTATATATAGGTTGGTAGCTGGGATTCTGGGACTGTATATATATAGGTTGGTATTTGGGAGTCTGGGACTGTATATATATATAGGTTGGTAGTTGGGAGTCTGGAACTGTATATATATATATAGGTTGGTAGTTGGGAGTCTGAAACTGTATATATATATTTGGGAGTCTGGGACTGTATATATATATATAAAGGTGGGTAGTTGGGAGTCTGGGACTGTATATATATATATAGGTTGGTAGTTGGGAGTCTGGGACTGTATATATATATATAGGTTGGTAGTTGGGAGTCTGAAACTGTATATATATATTTGGGAGTCTGGGACTGTATATATATATACATAGGTTGGTAGTTGGGAGTCTGGAACTGTATATATATATATATATAGGTTGGTAGTTGGGAGTCTGGGACTGTATATATATATATATATATAGGTTGGAAGTTGGGAGTCTGGATTTGTATACATATATATATATATATATATAGGTTGGTAGTTGGGAGTCTGGAACTGGAACTAACTTCTCTAGGAACTATACTGAACAATACTCAGAGATTGTAGAGAGTCTTCATAACAAAACTCTCATAGTTTCATGTATTTTGGTGAGTTAGCAGCATGCATAAATATAGGAATACAGGATATAGTTTTATATGTATTCTGGTGAGTTAGCAGCATGCATAAATATGGAAATACAGGATATAGTTTCATGCATTCTGGTGAGTTAGCAGCATGCATGAATATAGAAATACAGGATATAGGTTTATGCATTCTGGTGAGTTAACAGCATGCATAAATATAGAAATACAGGATATAGTTTCATGCATTCTGGTGAGTTAGCAGCATGCATGAATATAGAAATACAGGATATAGGTTTATGCATTCTGGTGAGTTAACAGCATGCATAAATATAGAAATACAGGATATAGTTTCATGCATTCTGGTGAGTTAGCAGCATGCATAAATATAGAAATACAGGATATAGTTTCATGCATTCTGGTCAGTTAGCAGCATACATAAATATGGAAATACAGGATACAGTTTAATGCATGCTGGTCAGTTAGCAGCATGCATAAATATAGAAATACAGGATATAGTTTCATGTACTCTGGTGAGTTAGCAGCATGCATAAATAAAGAAATACAGGATATAGTTTCATGCATTTGGGTGAGTTAGCAGCATGCATAAATATAGAAATACAGGATATAGTTTCTTGCATTCCAGTGAGTTAGCAGCATGCATAAAATATAGGAATACAGGAGATAGTTTCATGTATTCTGGTGAGTTAACAGCATGCAATAAATATAGGAATACAGGAGATAGTTTATGCATTCTGGTGAGTTAACAGCATGCATAAATATAGAAATACAGGATATAGTTTCATGCATTCTGGTGAGTTAACAGCATGCAATAAATATAGGAATACAGGATAAAGTTTCACGCATTTTGGTGAGTATTCCTTTAATAAAAAAAATCTTTTACTGCGTTATTGTTGAAATACCATTTAAGATTTTTTTTTAAAAAAGAGAAAAAAACAAAATGACTTTTTTTCATCTTTAATATCTCCTTGACAAAGGAAAATCTTTAATTAAATTGAATTAAATGCATATTTGGAATTTTCTCATTTTATTCTAGTCGTTTTTTATTAAATTGAAATAAAATAAAAATTTTTATTGTTTTTCTTCATAAAAAAAGTGTTTTATCATTTTAGTTAGACAAAATGACAACATAAAACGAAAAGGGCTTATCAAATTCATCAAACATTAATGCAATGTTTTTTATCAGAATGACCCATTTTTGATGCTGAAAGAAGACAGTGGAGTACTGGTTGGAAATGACAGGTATATAAGCCTGCAAAGGAAATACATTTTATTTTTGAAAGATTTCGTAAATACATTATATTGCATTATTTTGCATATGATAAATTCGCACCCTGATCTCTAATCGTTCTCCTTAAATCTATTTAATTGAAATATTTTGTTATTATTACTAACATTAGGTGGAAAAAATAATCAAAACAGCCAAGAGCTATTTTCCACCTAATTGCTTTATACTTGTACTGTAAATATAATCATCAATTTTGTGATTGTAAACTCTATCTGTATACAGATACATTTATTTTAGCAATAAACGTTATCTTATCTTATCTTATCTTATCTTATATTTCATGCCTGTTTAAGTTCCTGGCATTGGCCAGACTCATTATCACTCATTATTACTCCCGTCGTTTACCGGCGCTTGGTGTTAAATTATAATTTTAGCTGAAATGTCCAGCTTTGCCTGTGAAGTTTCAAAATGTTCAAATAAAAGTTTAAAGGGTATTTTTAGAAAAACAATTATGGAAGGTCACGTGGGGAAGACTTCACTGCAGATTTTACTGTTGTACATGACCACTTTTTCAACAATTTTTAATTAAATAAGTATTTATTTAGGGTTAGGTTAGGTTCAGATACTTTCTGGGCCAAGCGCTGTGGCTAGGACAGGCTAGGTAGCCGAGCGCTGCGGCCACGGGTTAGGTTAAGTTATAACACTTTCTTTTATTTAGGGTTAGGTTAGGTTAAGACACTTTCTGGGCCAAGCGCTGTGGCTAGGACAGGCTAGGGAGCAGAGCGCTGCGGCCACGGGTTAGGTTAAGTTATCTACACTTTCTGGGTTGAGCGCTGCGGCTATGATTCAATCTCGATCTACAAATGTCATCCCCCCTTATTCATGCTTTTAATTTTGCGTGGCAGTGAAGTCTTCCCCACCTCGCACACTCGAAGGTTGGAGTTCAGCTTCTGCCTTGAAATTACACCTACCGTGCCTTATAGGACTTTTTAAAGTTTCAGCAATTTTTAAATTCATCAAAAAGAAGGATTCTTTTCTTTGAAATAAATTCAATAATAGAATTATAAAAAATGAAAAACTCACTAAAATTAGAATTAATGTTTTTTGCGCTAAATTGAAAGTTAAAGTTTTAATCTTTGAAATTTTATCAAATAATACATTATATCTTTCTATTTTATTTTATTTTGAAAAAACTGTATGATATAAACAATTCTAATCTCTCAGATGAAACAATTTTATTTTTAAACATTCTTGTTATTCTAAACTTTGGAAGAAATAAAACTTTAACACAACAAAATAGAGGAATGTTGCTTAGCTCCATGATAAGAAGGAAATGCAAACATCCCCCCCATCATATATATTTATCTAGATATGAAGGATACAGTGTAGATTTAATCCATGAGATAGCTGGTATCCAGGATTCAACTAAACTATTAAACTAGTTGAAGATAGATCATATATATTTATCTAGATATGAAGGATACAGTGTTGATCTAATCCATGAGATAGCTGGTATCCAGGATTCAACTATACTATTAAACTAGTTGAAGATAGATCATATATATTTATCTAGATATGAAGGATACAGTGTAGATCTAATCCATGAAATAGCTGGTATCCAGGATTCAACTACACTATTAAACTAGTAGAAGATGGATCATACATATTTATCTAGATATGAAGGATACAGTGTAGATCTAATCCATGAAATAGCTGGTATCCTGGGATTCAACTAAACTATTAAACTAGTTGAAGATGGATCATATATATTTATCTAGATATGAAGGATACAGTGAAGATTTAATCCATGAGATAGCTGGTATCCTGGGATTCAACTATACTATTAAACTAGTTGAAAATCATATTAAATATATTCTATATTTATCTAGATATGAAGGATACAGTGTTGATCTAATCCATGAAATAGCTGGTATCCTGGGATTCAACTACACTATTAAACTAGTTGAAGATGGATCATATGGAAGCTATAACAAACACACGGGGAAGTGGAACGGCATGATTGGTAAGAATGATCAATATATATAGTAATGTGTCCGATCATAAGCCAGGGCCCAGGAACACCGAATTGCCTCCAATTTTGAAAATGCAAAAAATTTAGTTTGAAAAACATGGGATTTGTTTTTGGTTTGCTAAAGATTGAAATCACATGAATTATTTACCTAGAAGGGTCTCGTTCATTTGGTGCACAGTCCAGTTTTGTCTGGTACAATCTGTATGTGTACTGTACAGCTAGCTTTAGCTGGTCAGATGTCGGCCCGGTTTGTCTGGTATAATCTGTACTGTACAGCTCGCTCTAGCTGGTCAGATGTCGGCCCGGTTTTGTCTGGTACAATCTGTATGTGTACTGTACAGCTAGCTCTAGCTGGTCAGATGCAGGCCCGGTTTTGTCTGGTATTATCTGTATATGTACTGTACAGCTAGCTCTAGCTGGTCAGATGGAGGCCCGGTTTGTCTGGTATAATCTGTATGTGTACTGTACAGCTAGCTCTAGCTGGTCAGATGTCGGCCCGGTTTGCATGGTATAATTTGTATATGTACTGTACAGCTAGTTCTATAGCTGGTCAGATGTCGGCCCGGTTTGTCTGGTATAATCTGTATGTATACTGTACAGCTAGTTCTAGCTGGTCAGATGGAGGCCCGGTTTGTCTGGTATAATCTGTATATGTACTGTACAGCTAGCTCTAGCTGGTCAGATGGAGGCCCGGTTTGTCTGGTGTAATCTGTATGTGTACTGTACAGCTAGCTCTAGCTGGTCAGATGGAGGCCCGGTTTAAATCTCTCTAATAATAATAAAACTCTAAAACTATGTCTTAAACTATCTCATATCTATCTATTGATTCTGGGCGAAAAGAAAGATATACCTTTAAAACAATTTCTATTGATAATGTGGTAGCATGAATATTACAGGATAGACTGACTGCATGAAAGAGTTGAAAACCCTTTTATACCCAAGCGAGCCTAGCCTAGCCGAGCAAGCTTGTTTGGTACAAAAAAGTTCTCAACATAAAAAGAAAGAGTTGCTGCATGGTATAATCTGTATGTGTACCGTACAGCTATCTCTAGCCATGGTCAGATGTCGGCCCGGTTCATGAAATGAACTGGAGTTAATACTAAAAGGGTGTCATTGTGAATCGGGCATTCTCCCTTTAAATAATGTCAGCAGAACTTTTAAATTTTGCAGATTTTTAAAAATTACATTGCTTTACCTTTATGTCATTAACTTTTAGAAATATTCAAATATATATTACAATTTACTTGTTTTAATGCCAGTTTTGTTTAAAAAATGCCTCTTTGAATCTTTCATCTAAAATTATGAATTTGCTTGTGCAATTTCTTTAAATATATTCTAATATTGTTCTTTTTCTTCCCTTGCTTGAACTTCATTTAGATGGTTTGTAGGGATTAATGTATGCATCATATTCAAACAGCATTTGTAGTAAAGGGGGGGGGGCGATTTAAAGAAATGGAAACATTGAAAAGTTTTTTTGGGTAACACATGAGTTTTACATTGGATTATGAATGTTGGGGGATTACAGGGCCAGGGGGATTTTTTTGGTTTGATCATTTTTAAATTAAACTTAATTGACAATTGTTTTCTGCCCCCCCCCCCCTTACATTTATATTTTTAAAAACGGTGATGTTTTTATTTCTATATTAGCCTGGAGATGGAGCTTTCTAATCCAGTTTGATGCATTCTATTTATAAAACTAATATAATTATATAGTGACCATGATTTATATCTTACACAGATAAACAGTGATTATATAACGAATATACATGTACAAACTAAAATCTCAACCTCTCAGGTTCATTCAAAGTTTCAGAATGACCTGAAAAAAACAGTAAATCAGTTTTTAGTTCTAAAAATACGGATATCTATGTCGATCAGTCAAAAGCTTAAAGGTTTTCTCTGGAGAGAACAGATAGTTGAACGATATTTCAAAAAATGATTTGTAAAACTTTCAACAAATGAATATTAAGCGTTTCTTTAAGGTGAATTGTTGGATCAGAAGGCTGATCTCGTAGTGGCGGATATAACAATAACCTATGAGAGAGAACAAGGAGTGGATTTTACAATGCCCTTCATGAACCTAGGAGTTACTATCCTATACAAGAAACCAAACAAGAAGGTAAAAATCAAGGAGTAGATTTTACGATGCCCTTCATGAATCTAGGAGTTACTATCCTATACAAGAAACCAAACAAGAAGGTAAAAATCAAGGAGTAGATTTTACGATGCCCTTCATGAATCTAGGGGTTACTATCCTATACAAGAAACCAAATAATAAGGTAAAAATCAAGGAGTAGATTTTACGATACCCTTCATGAATCTAGGAGTTACTATCCTATACAAGAAACCAAATAAGAAAGTAAAAGTAGAGAAATACAGTGGTAAGCGGTTTTATCAATACAATACATTTTTGATTGTTAACAAGCTTTTTCGAAATACAAGTTTACAAGTTATCAAAGGGAAGCTTTTTTAAATGACAGCTTCTCTTGACTTATAATGTTTAGCAGCTTGATATAAATCAAAATTAAAATCAAAAGTCGTCTTTATTGTATTGATATAATCGCGTACCACCGTATATTATCTGTTAAACTATTGATTTTATAAGGATCGTACGCCCACGTAAAACAAAGAACAACAAAGTAAATCCTGTCATGAGTACACCGACATATTTTCAATCATGTTTAGATTTTTTAAACGAAGAGACTAAAATTAGGAGATCCATTATGTGTTTCTCATTTATATTACGTAACATGCTGAAGGACCCGGCGTTGCCCGTAAAAAGAAAAAAATATTGAAAAAATTAAAAATACAAAAAAAAATTGAAAAATTGAAAAAAAGTCAAATTTTTTAGCTTATTTCACCCCCAGGCTACCCATGAGTGTCCACAAAAAAATGTCAGCTTATTCGATATGGAATTAAGTCCTAAAATTTGGCAATATAACATCCTGTTGAAAAAATCCTCAAGATTGAAAATTGGATAGACTTTATTTTCTTGAAATTTTTTACTTTTTTATTACAAATTATTCTTGATAACGGAGACCTGTAATAGTAACGGTTGAAATATTTCCAGAAACCTATTTTTAGTGTATTTTTCAGATATTCCGGTGTTTATATTTATATATATTAAAATAAGTTAAACCCATAGTGGAATATAAAGTTAAAATTGTATACGTTTATTTCTAACTATTTTCTGGGCTGAATTCGAACAATATTTGACAATTTGAAAATGTTCTGAGAAGCAGGAGCTCCCTAGTTCAAGGAAATGAAAGAGATAAAAGCTCTCTTCTTTAATATACATTGTTCTCTGTATTCATCAAATATGTTTTATAACATTATATTCTGATGAAAGAAAAAATATAATTGCCAAACATTAATAAGCTTTATTAAAGAGCTGTGTTTGTAGTTTTAAATTTTTCGTTGCGTTTGACAATTCCAAAAGACTGTTCGACAACTCAAATATTGCTTGACTATTATTCTATCATTCTGTGAGAATAAGAAAACTTAGAGTTGTTCTCTTTGGCTGGTAAATTTATTTTTGATTCTGAATGTTAAAAAAAAAATTAAGTATTTTTGTTAGCTCCAATTTTAGCAAATCTTTCAGCGGAAGTTAAGAATTGAAAAATCCTCTTTATAAATGGAAGGTCACTTGAAATCATATTCTATTCCAGAAAAAAAGAAAAACAATTTAAATTTTAAGAACAACAATCCGATTTATTTTTATAAAATACAATTGCATTTATCACTTTTTAGATATTTTTAAAAATTTGGCTTTTAGGGGTCTTTTTTATGAGTTTTTTTTGGTAAAATTGATTCAAAATGTGGTCTCTGAAAAAACGTATAAACCTAAACAAAACAAAATCAATCGTTCGGTAGCGAACAATTTGAAAAATTATATCTTTTATTTTTGATATCTTTTGCCAGAGTCATGCAAACTTTTATAAAATACAATGAAGAAATATGTTAAATTTCTCAGAGTTTAGCGAAGTCTCCTGAAAGTCTAAAAATCCTAAAAATATTAAAAAAAAAACAAAAAAAAAAAAAAACACCCAACTCTAAATTAAATCTTCTGACAGATATCTCCAATTTTATTTTTCCATGCAGATTCCTTCAATTAGCTTTCCTTGAAACAAATGTAATCAAGTCTTTCTCTCTCTCCATATATTTGGTTTTTGAATTGAGCTGACTCGGAAGAAAACAAACGTAAATATAAACAATAAACAGGTTTTCTAGTCAACAAAGTATTTGTTTACTTTATAATAAAATACAAAGATTTTTTTTATTAAAATATTTAAAATTTTACTTAAAGTTAATACCCTTGCCCCTAATACAGATAGGATATATTTCGATATATATCCCCCCTCCCCCCAATTAAACTCATAGTCTTATAGCCGAATTTTTAAATGGAAGCATCATTGCAATGCAAAAAGTCGTCATATTTATTTTGTTTTTCATTTTTAACAAAATTTTAGTTCGTTTAAAACTAAAAATATTACTTGGTTGGCATAATTTGTATTTCAACTGTAGCATAGACTAAAGCTTATCAGTTAATATAAAAATAAAAAAAAATCTGAATCAAAGATTTTTATTTTCTCATCGTTTATAATTGTTGTATTTGTGAAGGATCCCAACCTATTCTCCTTTATGTCTCCGCTCTCTATAGATGTATGGATCTATATACTAACAGCGTATTTGGCAGTTTCTCTCATACTCTACACAATTTCACGGTAATAATTTCATAATTCCTGTTCGTTGCAGTAATTTCAAAATTTCTCGAACTTAAGTTAGACAATTTACTTCAAAAAAGCAGTGCGGCTTCCAACTCTTTTTGCATAATTATTTCAGTAATCTTTTTTGGGAGCAAAATCTAACCTTTAAAGTGCTATGTATGAATCTAGGTTGAGTCCTTATGAACCAGTGTCTGAAAAGAAACCTCCTGCCTTAGAACGAAGTGAATCAGGTACCCCCGGCACGAAACATGATAATTGGTGAATAGTTTAGAATGTCTGCTTCCATAATTTGTTAAGTCGTTTGATAGCAAAGACAATAATAAAAATATTATTCTGGAGTCATGTTATAGTAAAATTGATTTCAAAGTAAAATATTTTTGAACAAAAGATTTTTCTAACAAAATAAACTGCAAAAAGCTTTTGATATCTAATACAGTATAAAGAAGACGACATTCATAACTATTAATCAACGTCATGTTTCGTGGGACACACTGTATTAAATGCATGGAAATATTTTTTATTCTAAAAATATAATTTTTTTTAAAGTAAGGCCAACCCCTTTTTAACGGTCCAGCTGCCAACTCCCGACCAGAGATATTCAAATTTTTACATGTTTAATTCCAAGAGGAATATTTCAATAAGATTGTATGGCAGTCATATTATAGTAACATTGATTTCAAAATAAAGTATATTTGAGTAAAAGATTATTAACGACGTAAACTGCAAAAAGAGTTTTATATCTAATACTGTGAAGAAGACATTATAGATTTTCACCAGCTGTAATGTTTCGTGGGATACCCTGTACAATAAAGACGCCATTAATCAATTAATAAAGCTAGATCATTTTTATTTATTATTTGTCTTCTTTTGTGTACTGTGTTACTACAGAGGTTTTAACAAGTTAGTAATTTTGTGTAATTTGATCTGTGTACTTAAGGTTTACGTTTGGCGCGTCAAGACCCGTTGTACGAGGCAATATTTACATGTACAGGCAATCCTGTCCGTACAGTGGCAACACAGGTAATTATAAATCTCTGGAATAGGATGATGACATTTAAGCCATATTATGTTTATGTTATATTGTTTAAAGCAAATCGTTTACAGTAGCTGAAAATCAACATTTTAAGTAGCAATAAAAAAATGTAGGGGAAGGGGGTTCAGGTTGAGGAATGAAAAGGAAGGGGTTAGGTTGATGAATGAAGGGGAAGGGGGTAGGTTGATGAATGAAGGGGTAGGGGGTAGGTTGATGAATAAAGGGGAGGGGGGTAAGTTGATGAATGAAGGTGAAGGGGGTAGGTNAGTGAAGGGAAAGGGGGTAGGTTGATGAATGAAGGGGTAGGGGGTAGGTTGATGAATGAAAGGGGAAGGGGGTAGGTTGATGAATAAAGGGGTAGGGGGTAGGTTAATTAATGAAGGGTAAGGGGTAGGTTGATGAATGAAGGGGTAGGGGGTAGGTTGATGGCAAGAGAGTAAACCCAATTATTATGTTTGCTTAAATACAATATAATTAATTTGAGCTGCTAATTGTATAATGAGAAGATAGTTCTTACATTTCATCAACTATCACTTTCAACATCTATTAACTCAAGAACTGTAGGATTGTAATTAGAGAGAGAGAGGGGGGGAGGCAGCTGTTCTCTTCCTCGCTTCCCTCCCCCTCCAAAAAACCTATAAGTTTACATTAAAAAAAGCTTCAAAACTTTTAATATTTATATCTTCAGAGAATATAAAAAGAGAAGAACGAACCAAAATGATCGTTTTTTTCACATATTATCAAAATTTGGCAATATTTAAGGAAAGTAAACGTTTAGAATAAAAAGTTTTGAACTAAGGGATGTTTGTGTGGGAACATTTTTTCCATCACTAGTTTTACCGACATAAAAAGTAGTTTTAATACTTTTACCATTAACAAGTGGTATGATATAAAGGAAATCTGAAGCCTGAAAACTGGTGTAAGTAAACCTACAGACCATAGGAAAAAATGTATTTACAACTGAAAAATGAACAAATAAAATGATACTAATGAATAATGAAAAGCCGGAGCTCTCTGGCAGACTCTTCGACTTAAATTCGCCTCGAACGACGAATTAATCTTCCGACTTCTGACTCTAGGTGATAAGTGGCTTCATTTCAGTTTCAGCCCAGGGGGATCCTATTTCAGTTTCAGCCCAGGCGGATCCTATTTTCTCTTTCTCCAAGTATGGGTACATGCTTATTGGCTTGAATTTAAACTAGGATCTGGGGCAACGGTGGCTTTGGTTTTCCACGCTTTCAAACATGTGTTCAAAGCATGTTTTTTATTTCTCCACATTGGCGACATATCATCCGCCCCACTTTCTCTCCGACCTATAGCTATGTACAAAATAGATAATATGTTGTCCTGTTTATCGGCCGGACTACTTGCAATCCGAGCTTAGCTCCAGGTCCGTATGAGGACTGAAGGGGTTACATCAATGGAACTATCCAATCTGAGTTTAGCTCTGGATCTGTATGAGAACTGAGGGAGTTAGATCAATGTAACTATCCCTATTCCGTGCTATTGAACTCACACCAGTTAAAATACAATTCAGATATGAAATTGTTAAGGAATTGTTATCTATTTTCTAAATTAAAAACACAAACAAAAATCACTGTTATTCTTAGTTTTTCAAAACCCTGAAGTGGTCGAACACATGTAATTTTAATGTTTAAATTTTCGGGAGGTGTTCCCGCATTTTTTTGTCGTCTTCATGTGGAGTTTTTTTCTTAAAAAAACTCTCATAAATTTGTTATTTCCTACATTCTGTTCAGTTACAGAGCAGATTTGACTTTGTGTTTAACTTCTTTCTGCAAATCCGCTTTTTACAATTTGGGTTTTCAAAACAAAGAAATTACCCCAATTAACAAAATGTAAATTCTCAGCGATTTGTATTTTCCACTTCCGGTTGTACATTAGTCCTCTGTAGAATTTATATCCGGAAACCGGAAATGATCCCGAATATCTCTGATTAGTCACTGAAAGAAGATACAATGCAGACAAAAACTGTATTGTCAGATTTAAGCGACAAACTACCAATTTCCCGCAGAACACGTGAACACCAATAATAATCAAAATAATGGAGATGAAGACATAAACTGTAATCTTGGGCGCTGTTCTTCCAATAACTTTGTTTCTTTATTTATTAAAAAAGGTTTTTCTAAAATCGTAAAAATAGCAACAAAATAATTTTATAAAATTTGTTGAATGCTACATTTTCTGACGTTGATTGGAAACAAAACAGCGGGTCAAAAAAAGTTTAATCCGTTCGTTTGATTTTTCAACCAAAAAAATGATAAATATAAAAAAAATTATAATGAATAAATTTATTTTTACCTGAAAAATGATATATTTGATGATTGTTGGCTGGGATCTATCTTTGTTGTTTATTTTACTGATTCAGAAATAATATTGTCTGCTCCGCCTACTCTATAGGTTTTTGTTAGTATGTTTATTTACGTAGAAACTCATATCAAGAGATATACTTCACAGGGTAAACAAACTTTATTGTCATATCAGTTTCGAGTGTATACAAGTAAACAAGTAATTACAAGTTAAGAATTTACTAAACAACTTTTTTTAGGATTTGAATTCGAGTGTCAGAATTATAAAATAACTTTTATTTTATAATCGTATCAAGGGGACTCGTGTCGTGGTTTAAATGACCCTCTCAAAAAAATATAAAAAGGCGTGCATTAAATTTACAACGGTACCCTTGAAATGCTTGCGTCACTGTGACAAACCATAAATGAAAATAAATAGTTTTCAAGATTAAAAACATGAAGTTCTATTTCATACCAATTCAGACACAGCTTTTAAGGATACACTTGTGAATTTTAATAGAGGGGCATATAAAATTAAATTTACAGTCCTATTTAAAGGACCCTCCGTTTAAAGATTATCTAATCAATGACAATTTGCTGCCAGAAAACCTCTCCCCAGGCGAACACTAAATTATTGAGATATCTTTGGTTTTCTGTCTGAAGATTGATAAAAGAAACCCTATTAAAAATGTTAAAAAAGTAAAAACTAGTTTTAAACTATCAATTTTCAGATAAACAGTTTAAGTTATAACAAAAAAGTTGTGGCATTCTTCAAGTTGAAAACTTAAATGTTTACAATTTTTCTGAAAAAAAAGAGGATTAAAAACTAAAATGATTGATATTGGAACATAGAAATAAAAGTTTTTAACAAAATTTAACTGTTGTTAATTTTTTCTAATGGTACGACATGTTTACTTTTAAAGTAAATCACAATTCAAAAATGTGATTTGTTCTTTGTTAATTTTGAATAATTTACTGTTCATTACTAGGCTGAGACTGAGGTGACTGAACCAACTGGAAACACGTTCACCGTCATGAACTCATTTTGGTTTATTGCAGCCTCACTCCTTGGACAAGGAGTTGATGTACTTCCCAGGTAGGAGTTCAAACACATAGGCAGGTAGGTAGGTAGGTAGGTAAGTAGGTAAGTAGGTAGGTAGGTAGGTAGGTAGGTAGGTAGGTAGGTAGGTAGGTAGGTAGGTAACAGATAGGCCCCAGGTAAGTATAAAGATAGTTAAAAACGGAGGTTATAGGTAGGTAGATAAGAATGTATTAAGTACAGTTAGACTTGAATGTATTTATTTGTAAACATGGGAGCTACAAGGTTTTAAAACACCGGGTATAAGATATTCACTACTGAGAGTAATAAAAGTAATGAAACTTTAAGGTTTCTGATTTTATTATACAGGCTCGGAGAAAACCTTATATAAATTCTTAAATTCAGACTGGAAATGGGCGCTTTCGGCTTTTTTTAAACTTTAATTTTGTACTTCTCAAAATTATCGTTATTTTTCATCTATTTCGTTTGTTTTCTAATTGAACGATCGTTCGATAAAATCTATTGTTCAGTAAAATTGATCGTTAAACAAAATTGTTGGTTTTAAAGGTTTGTCGGAAAAAATCGTTTGTTTAGTAAAAAACATCATTTTTAAAATTGTGTTTCAAAAAAATCGTTTGTTAAACTTTATTTTTTTTAAATACTTTCGAAACATTTGTTCGTTCAGTAATTTTTTCGTTTGGAGTTCGTTCAAACGTTTTTTATATTTTTTATTTATCTGACATATCCATCGTTCGTTTTTTCTCCAAACGACACAATCATTCCAAAAAAGTTTTGTTCTGTCTCTAAATCTGTCAACGATGCCCGTCTCTAATTCTGACAATGATGCCCGTCTCTAATTCTGACAATGATGCCCGTCTCTAATTCTTACAATGATGCCAGTCTCTAATTCTGACAAAGAATAATACCGTAATGGTGAGATATTAAACATAATTGAGTTTGTGTCAGCATCACCTTATTCATTATACAAATTGTCACTATTCATAAATCTTTATTTGTAAATTTATATTGTACCGAATGTTCCACTTCCAAGTGGTGTCCCAACAAACATGAAATAAAAATAAATAAAAAACGCCGTGCAGCATTGATTTTGTGTCGGGTTTTACAATAAAATAAAACTTCTTTTTCCAAATCCGAGATATTTGCGACACGTAATTGTAAACATTAGATATTTCAAACTTTGACTATTGATCTAAAATAATTGATAATCTATCAAAGGTCTAAAACATCGTTGCAAAGATATAGGAATTTAAAAATCATGCCACAATAAACAAACGAGCAGTTTCTGTAAAAAAATACATATTTTCGTATTTGGAATTTCTGAAATGTTGACTTGCTTTTCATCCTGCATATTGCATTGCAATGTAATAAATATCGTAGTAAACCCCATATTTATAAACCTGAACACATCTGGATATAAAATATGTTGTACAACGTCTGCAAACCTAACTATGCTTGTGAATGACTATGTAAAACTTGTATTGCGATTAATTTAACTACGATTGTAAATAACGACTTAACTAACCTGTATCATAGAACTCAAAATAGACGTTAGTTGGAATAATACTCCGCTTGTTTACAGTGTTAGAGTAATATATTCTTGTGAAGCAAACTGAGTTGAATCTTGGTTCAAAGATATTGACAAGTAAAATACAAATTGAGGCATACCAAGGTATTATTATAGGCCAAGTAATTCTATGGCAGTTTGTACCTAGGTGATACATTCTGAAGTTGTATCCAGATTGATACCATGACTGGGTATATTGAGAGAACGAGAGAGTTCAGGATCAGTCTGTACCTTGATGCTACAGACTATATTATTGCTGGAGACCACGGAGTTCTACAGAGGTTGTATCTGGATTGATACCAACCAAGTATATTGAGGGAACATGAGAGTTCTAGAGCAGTAGCTGTACCTAGATGAAACAGACTTCATTATGATTTTAGACCACGGAGTCCTACTAAGGTTGTATCTGGATTGATAGATACCGACAGATACGGAGCTAGTATCCAGATTGATACTGACCTAAGAATCATTATTGGAGTAAGGCATTTACAAGGTTGTATCTGGATTGATAGATACCGACAGATACGGAGCTAGTATCCAGATTGATACTGACCTAAGAATCATTATTGGAGTAAGGCATTTACAACAGCATATTAATTTCTAATAAAGATTTGACTGGTGTTATTCAATTTCCCTGTTTATAGAGACACCATGTTTGATAAATAAATATTTATTTAGTGCATTCTCAACTCGAATGATCGCTGGACTCTGGTGGTTTTTTACTCTGATCATGATCAGTTCCTATACAGCAAACCTAGCAGCTTTCCTTACAGTCGAGAGGATGGAATCACCAATCGGTAAAAAAACGTTTGTCCAAAACATGACTACACTTACAGTTTGAAAAATAAAATGAAAACAAAGAAAAATCCCAAAAAAAGTGTTAAAAATGCAGTTACAATTAAAATATTAAAACAAAAAAATAAAACATCCGTTAAAAAACAAAATAAATCAGAGAAAAGTGTGTAATTCTGATAATTTCTACATGGTTTCTGAATCCAAAATGCGCAAGTCACTGTATGTTAAGTTCTTATAAAATGTTTTTTTTTTATTTCAGAATCTGCTGAAGATCTGGCCCGGCAACAGAGGATTAAATATGGCGCAGTAGAAGGAGGCTCCACCGCGGCATTCTTCCGGGTAAGTGCGCACACGAGGAACCTGCCTGTACACTCGCTTTATGGGTTCGAAGAGTATATTTGATGTGACTGCTTTTGTATGTGATTTTTATGGATAAACGGATATTATCTTGGTTAATTTAATTATGGTTTATTAAAAGAATCTGTTACATGGACATCACAAAATGGTAAAAAAAAATTGTAAGCTATAGATAACATTCAAAGCAAAACTTATAAAGTACTGAAAAAGTTACTAGCCGAGGTTTCTATAAGTATTAACAGATTCTTTGATTTTTTGTTTGATGAAATTAACCAGAATTTGTGTTTGATGTGATTTTTTTCCAAAAAAGTGCATTCAACATATTTCTTTTTACTTTTGAACATTTTTGAGGCATTTATTTTTACGCAACATCTATTTTAAAGATTTGATTATATACACAAACTGAACATGCAACTGCATGAAGACTTGTAGTGAAATGTGCAAAAATGTGACTAATTGACTGAAAACTAAAAACTGCAACCTCCTCTTCCCTAAAATACCATAGACTTAGAAAATATTAAATTAAACCTTAAAAATAGTTAAATAAAATCTAGACAGTCTTTAGAAAATAATCTGGAGACAATTTTTTAAATTTCTCCCCTTTTGTTATCTTTAACAATGTCAAGTTTTCAGAAGGGTTGCCCTTATTACCGAATTCTTTTTAAGCAGACTTTTCTTTTGATATGGTGGTAGGCGATTATGTCAATATAATAAAGACGCCTTTCGATTTATTTTTTGATTTATATCAACCTTTTTATCAGCACATGGATACACATAAACATGAAAACAAAGAGAAGCTGGCAATTAAAAAAATTCTCTTTAATTACTTGTAAACTTGCTATGCGAAAAAAGCTCGTTGACAGTAAAAACTTAAATAAAAAAGGTCGTCTTCATTAACATTGGTATATTCACCTACCACCGTACAAAATTATCACTAATCCCAGATTCCTTTTTTCAAGGACAATTTACCGAATGACATTTTGTGAATATGAAATTTGTGTGTCATCATGGAAAATTAGACTTTTGAAATGTTTCCATTGCCCAAAAAAAGCTGTGGAAAATGGATTAGAAAATGTACCATTGTCATTTAAAAAGTAACCCATGGAAAATCCAATGAAAATTTGTCAGGACAATATTTTGAAAGAAATTCGGAAAAACAAAAACCCTAGATATGCCATGTTTTTACCGATTCTAAAATGCGGGAAAAATAAAATGGAAAAATACAGCTACCTTTGTCTATTTTAATTCACAGTTTTCAAATGATATTTGATGAAGAAATCTATTTTTAGAAATCATTTCACCATAAATTCCAGGTATACTCCCCCATTTTATACTCTATATACCCATTTTAAGGACTATTCTTAATGTACATCAAAATTCAGCAGTCGGCGATTTTATCAATACATTAAAGACGACTTTTTTTATTAAAAATGCTTTTACAAGTCCACATGTAAATTGACAATATCTCTCTGTCTTAATGTTTAAAAGGAGTGTTCGCGAAAAATGAAAGGGGGTATAGGCTTACGGTGATAAATAATCGCTTTTGATCGCTACAAATCTTACTTTTATCTGATGCGTGTATAAGGAGAAATTTTTTTTTAAAAAAGAATCTGAAGAACGTAGAATCCATTTAAATTAAGAAAGTTGCAACATTCAACTCGGATCGTAAAATAATTAATTTAATTTCAAACAAATCATTCAGAATTTTTAAATAATATTTCGCTGGCGCTGGATTTTCGAACATTCCGGGAAAATATGAAAATCCTCGAAACAGGAATATATGTTTTCAAAAGTAACTATCAGATCATAAAAAATAAAAAATACTATAAAATATCAACTACATATGAATGCGTCGAAAAATAATCGATGATTATTGGTTGTAATGCCTGAATGACTTGTTTGGAATTAAATTGATTATTTTACGATCCGAGTCGAATGTTGCAACTTTCTGAATTTGTATGGACGCTACGTTCTTTGGTATAAGTTGTTTTTAACGATTTTCTCCTTATAGACGCAACAGATATTAGTAAGATTAGTCGCCAACACTCCCTTTAAGCTAGTGTTTCATATATACGACTCCCTTTAAGCTATTGTTTGATATATACGACTACGTCTGTAGACACAAAATCATCAACAAGTACATTTTTGAACAGTGCCTTTCTGGGTGGTCAACGTATATTTAGGGATTGTCCTCTTATTTTAAAATGTACATGCATTGAGAACCCTAAAACTGTGGAAAACGACTTTTAAACTTAAGAGTCAAATTGTCTGTTTCCTTTTGTTCATTATTCCCAGCAACTTTAAACTCGTTTTTTTATTTTCATGATTATTGATAAAACCATAAAAATATTTTATTCAAGACTTATTTAATAGCCTAGGAATCGTGAAATTTAAAGATTTCCAGGTCGTCTTTACAGTCTCATTATTTGTGGGTAACCCTGTGAACCATGTGTTGTTTTTAAATGGTCCAATGAACTTAAAACACAGTCATTTTGCAGCGTCCACTGTAGGTACACAGTCCAATTTTCCTTAATATAATGATTTTTAACCAATCGTGAAAAGTATTTGCTTCATAACAACCTCTAATACACGTCCAATAGATTGATAAAATGTCGTCTTCCTATTATACAGTTTTATAGGTCTCAATGTATTATTTCATAATTTCTGTGATTAAAGAACATTACCAAGCCTACTTATCGTATAAAGGTGCGAAAATGTCAAAAGCCCTGTGTGCAATGTGTTAAATGTTCCTAAGTATTCTGTTGAATTTCGCGACATTTTTATGGATTTCACCAAAACTAATTTTCGCGCGATGTGTGCATTTTTATTTTTTCTTAGTTCTTGCAAAGTTTTCAGGAACACCTTTATACGGTAAGATAGGCTTATAGTTGTGCTTGTGATTTCATATGAAAAAATTATATAAGTTGTGTTTTAAAAAAAGTGAACAATCTCTTTAAAGTTTACTCAATTAGGTATATCTAGACAAAACCAAAATTCTTGCATGTTTTTGGAAACCCCTCTGCATGATTGAAAGTAGCTTTTTGATGCTGTTTCATATATATATAATCTCTATGTGTCTGTCTGTTTATTTGTCCGATTATAATTCAGGAACCCCTGGATCGATTTGCCTCAAATTTTAATTGGGAAACTCGGGAGACCCACAGGAATGTTCTTAGCCTGGTTTTAATATTCTAAATTGGGTTGGTCGACTTTAATGGCGAAATTTAGTTTCCCATTAAAATCGTGCGGGTAAACAGCGGGAGTGACTTTTAGTAACCTTGGCAGCGCTGGGTTCCCAAGCTGGTATAGTACTAAAGATGCAGTTATCCATATTATCAAGGAAAGGGAGCTTTTATATATAGAAATAAGTTTATCAACTGTACTGAAGATATTGCTAACGTTATATGACTTACTAGAGTAAGTTGATAAATAGGTGTTTTTTCAAAAAGGCATCAAATTGTCTGTGTTTTATTTTAACGTGTTACATGAGTTGTACCATTTTAGCATAAAAAGGTTTAAAAGGAGTTTTTCATGACATTTTTAAGCGAGAAAGTTGGTTCAAGATTACAATGAAAGTCATTGTAGGTACTAGGAGGAAGGTCTTTACATTGTAGGTACTAGGAGGAAGGTCTTTACATTGTAGGTACTAGGAGGAAGGTCTTTACATCGTAGGTACTAGGAGGAAGGTCTTTACATTGTAGGTACTTGGAGGAAGGTCTTTACATTGTAGGTACTAGGAGGAAGGTATTTACATTGTAGGTACTAGGAGGAAGGTCTTTACATTGTAGGTACTAGGAGGAAGGTATTTACATTGTAGGTACTAGGAGGAAGGTCTTTACATTGTAGGTACTAGGAGGAAGGTCTTTACATTTATTGAGTGTCCTATAAACGTTGAAGAGCATAGAGTCGTGATAGATAAAATATATAGATTGTGAGAATGATAGATATATCATGTCGGTAAAAAAAATCATAATTAATTCTATAAAAAAGTAATAACTCACAATACATAACACAAAGCCCAAATTAATTTACAAAGAAAGAAAAGGCAGTGGGGTAAATAGTAGTTATGTATAATAATAAATAAGAATGTATACATTAAGTCTAGAAGATTTATTAAAAAAATTATTATAAATTAGATAAAAACAAATTATATTATTATGAAAGAAAACATCTAAAAAAATACAACCTTTTTAGTTTTTCACCAACATATCTATATAATAAAACAAGACATTCGTATATGTTTAAATATATGTTGCGTATAGCCGGCCAAACAGCTGGACCGATTGGGTTAAAATTTTTGTGGACACGATTATGGTTGGCCTTATTAAAGGAATTTTTTTTTTTTTTTTCCACGGGCAACGCCGGGCCCTTCAGCTAGTTTCCTATAAATTAGGTTGTTCAGATTGCTCTGAGTTTGATGAGCTGCTGGTTGGAAACTTTTCTAATTCAAGTAGTGTTCAGTGTTCAGTGTCCATCTAGTGTGATTTAAGAATAGCTAGGGATGTCCATTTATTGGGATTTAAGAATAGCTAGGGATGTCCATTTAGTGTGATTTAAGAATATCTAGGGATGTGCATCTAATAGGGATTTAAGAATATCTAGGGATGTGAATCTAGTAGGGAATGGGGGACCCCCCCCCCAGGTAGAATAGCCCAATCGGGATAGGGTTACTCAAATTTTCTTATATTTTGCCATATCTATTAATCTTTTAAAAGATGTTTACCTAAATGTTTACCTCAAAATTATTGAATCAATCGTTTTTTGTGCTTGCCTTATAGACATAGATATGTATTTTGTGAGACAAAACCAGTGGGCAATCTAGAAACTGCGAAATTATAGAGAATACAGTTTTAAATACGTTCAACCATCTTTATAACTCGAAACAGTCTTATCACAATATAATATCCGGCCACGTGGAGGAAGCTAGGTTAGAGCTCAGAGACAGGTCGTCTTTAGCTCCGCCACAGGAGACTGTGGTCAAAAACCTAGAATGTTTGAATCAAACCAAGAATTGATTTCCATCCCTAGAGATAATTAGTAAACTTGTTTAGCCCACTAAGCAAACACTAATCAAGAAATCATTCCATTCCCACAAAGCTCTAAATAAAGCTGTTCAAGAAATTATTGAGTGTTAAAAAATTAAGATAGGCGCCATTAACAATTAGTATAATATTGTTGCTATCTGTTTTTGAATTTAATTATGTTTACATTTTACGAAATTTCTGACGTTTAAAAAAAGGAAACTTTAATTTTAGATTTTAAAATGTCAAGTATCTCTTTTATATGAAACTGTAACACACTGTTAATGCTTTCATCTAAACCAAAAGGGAAATCATTCTGTCAATCTGTCTAACCCATGCTTTCCGATCCAAAGATTAAAATTTAACATTTTAAATTCTTTTAAAATCAAACCGTGGAGAACCGGCGGAAAAATCAATCCTACATTTTTCATAAATCATTGAACACTGCAGAAATATTTGGTAATTTTTGAAGAAAAACATTGGTTTATCAATCTATCGGTTTGAAAATGTATCAGGTCTGTTTGTTGGGTTTTTTTCTAATAAAAGTCAAAACAGTTAAACAGACTTAGTCCAAATTTTTCTTGATCTAGCTTTCATGAGCCTAGGGAAGGTAACAAATTGAAAAATTAAAAGTTTCTCCAAAAATTTAATTACAATTTTTTTACTTAAATTTTAACATTCAAAAATCTTTTCAGCATCGGATATTTTTTATCTTCCAGTTGGACTTTTAGAAAAATCATGGATTTTCGTTACATTTTTATTGGTGCTCTGTCTCTTGGGACATTAGGATTCAATAGGTAGAAAGGTTTTATATTTCTTCTCCAGGGAAATGTCTAAATGTACGGGATGTATGTATGTGACTAACATCATTAATAAGGTTCATGTAAAACTGGAATTACATTTCTCCTGGCTTATTTTTTTCTGGGCAGTGGTGTGGAAGATATCGTAGTTTTCTATTCTTAAACGTTAGGAATTCTGACAGCTTCATTTAACAGAATAATTCTGCCTGTCACTTTTATTGAAAATAATTATATGTACTTGTTTGAGTGTACAGGCAGAGGAATAGGATTGTACAGTAGATGGTTCAGCTTTATGTACAGAAAACAAGTTTAGAAAAACAATAATAGCAGTTTTTTAAGCTTTTAAATTGTTATATTTTAGATTTTGTTAAATATCTGGACATTACAATGAAATTTTAAAATGCTAAAGGAGTAAAAAACAAATTGTAATATTTGAACGAAAAAGAATCAATCATAATGATGACAATGCTACAATAAAAATGTCAAAACTTAATTAAATTTAATTTCATTGTACAGTGATCCCCAAAATTAAGTGGAATTATTATATCTAACTGTATTCTGATAATCATTAACATTGTACATGCTTTAAGTCAATTCAAAGGAATTGAGTCTTTGCAGCAAATCCCAATTGTCTAATACCTATATTATCTGTACAAACTGTTGATATTTCAAATTTAGATTATTTTATACAACAGAAGTCATAGTTTGAAATATCTGAGGTCTATGACATTGGGTTGTAAAGATAAAGGAATTTAAAAATCATATTTTGTGGCAAAGACTCAACTCCTTTCATGTTTATTTAAGTTAAGAATTTAAAGTGTCCAAGTCCGTAGGGGAATGCAACAATACGTTTTTTTACAATATTTTATTGCTCACCCTTTAGATCAGCTCTTTCTTTGTTATTATTTAACAATTGGACTGTTCATATAGTTCAGATTGTTTCTAAAGTTCAAACCCTTATCTATAGTTCAGATTGTTTCTAAAGCTCAAATCCTTAACTATAGTTCAGATTGTTACTAAAGTTCAAATTCATATCTATAGTTCAGATCTCTAACTATAGTTCAGATCTCTAACTATAGTTCAGGTCTCTTACTATAGTTCAGATCCGAAAACTATAGTTCAGATCTATAACTATAGTTCAGATCCCGAACTAAAGTTCAGATCCTGAACTAAAGTTCAGGTCTCTTACTATTTTTCAGATCTCTAACTTTAGTTCAGATCTCTAACTATAGTTTAGATCTCTAACTATAGTTCAGATATTTGACTCTCAGTTCATATCCTATAACTATAGTTTAGATCTCTAACTATGATTCAGATCTCTAAGTTTAGTTCAGATCTCTAACTATAGTTCAGATCTCTAGCTATAATTCAGATCTCTAATTATAGTTTAGATCTCTAACTATAGTTCAGATCTCTAACTATAGTTCAGATCTCTAACGATAGTTCAGATCTCTAACTATAGTTCAGATCTCTAACTATAGTTCAGATCTCTAACTGTAGTTCAGATATCTAACTATGGTTCAGATCATTAGCTATAGTTCAGATCTCAAACTATAGTTAAGATTCTTGACAAGAGTTTAGCTTTAGTTCAGATCGTTGATTACAGTCCGGATCGTTTACTTTAGCTCAGATTGTTACTTTAGTTCAGATTGTTACTTTATTTCAGATTTCTAACTCTAGTTCAGATTGCTTACAATTAAGATAAAGTTAAATCGCTTAAAATGCTTACTGCTTTGAAAACCTGCTAAAAATTACTCCATAAATATTACAATTTTAATTCATTTAAGGCATATTCAATTTGTCCAAAACTCATATTTAAAAAATGATTTTCTTTTATAAGAATTTTACTTTATGCCTTTTATTTCAGGACTCCAAGATAACAACCTATGCTAAGATGTGGGCCTATATGGATCAGAACAGGTAAATCAGAGGATTCATGAAAGATTGCAAGCATAATATGTTGACATATATCTATGAATGGAACAAAGTGGTGTCTACTCTTGTATATATTTCTATATCTATGAATGGAACAAAGTGGTGTCTGCTCTAATATATATTCCTATATCTATGAATGAAACAAAGTGGCGTCTACTCTAATATATATTCCTATATCTATGAATGGAACAAAGTGGTGTCTGCTCTAGTATATATTCTTATATCTATGAATGAAATAAAGTGGTGTCTGCTCTAGTATATATTCCTATATCTATGAATGAAACAAAATGGTGTCTTTTCTAGTATATTTCTATATCTATGAATGAAACAAAGTGGTGTCTACTCTAGTATATATTCCTATATCTATGAATGAAACAAAGTGGTGTCTACTCTAGTATATTCTAATATCTATGAAAGGAAAACTGTTTTACTATTAAATTGAGATTAAAGTGTTGCCATTAACCCTGAAATATATTCTAAAGATAACGATCAAACTTTCTCTATTGGATTCTACCATCATAGGGTTTAGTCCAGAATATCAAACTTCATCATCAAATGATAAAAACTATTTGTGATAAAACATTTATAAAATTTCAAAAAAAAACAATGTGTCCCAAATTATGCTCAATTGTATAGCACGACTTTTGGACTTAGGCCCCGATGATCAGTCACAGGTTTAAAAGGGTATCGTTGTAAATCAGGCATTGCCATCTTAGCATTCAGGGTTTCGTGAATTCCTTTAATTTGCAAACATAAAAAAATATTTGTTTTCATATTTTTTTAGAGCAATACCAAGTCATAAGTAAGAAATGCACTGCAAAAAATAAAGGCAGTTAATGGGAAGCCAAAATTTAGTGCAAAGTAAAAATAGTTTCTTCTTAATTTTTTTGCAATAAATTCTAGATTTTCACAATAAAAATAGGTTTGAAAACAAGTTTGCTTAAATCTACCAATTTCAAATTAGTACATTTTGACAATTTTGATTTTGTTACAAATCGTACGAAACAAGTGGATGCTTTAATAAAGAAAGAATAAAAAAATGTTTTATTTTTTCAAGGTTTATAAATTCAAAATTTGCCCAAGAGGATTTGCGATGATTTTCTTGTTACTTGATAAAAGTGCAGTTTTTTATAAACCTATATTATATATTCTGAGAGACGTTTTGTGGCTTAGAGAGGCTAATTTTGTCACTTGTTATTTTTTGCTTTTCTATTTAATGGTGTTATTCCTCCTGTTCTTGTTATTCTTGTTATTCTTGTTATTTTATTTTCAATATTTTTGTCTTCGTTCAATCTTTAAAAACAGATAAGGACCAGTTACCATCCAAGGACACCTCTAGTTAGTCTTATAAAATGTCAGAGTTTGTGGGAATTTCGATGGGAGGATTTTTGGTAACTAACAATTTGGTAACTAACAATTTTGGTAACTAACAATTTGGTTTCTAACAATTTGGTAACTAACAATTTTGGTAACTAACAATTTGGTAACTAACAATTTTGGTAACTAACAATTTGGTTAACTAACAATTTGGTGACTAACAATTTTGGTAACTAACAATTTGGT